ACGGAGGAGGGCATGGCGAGTGAGCGTGGAGGGGGTGGGTTGAGGGATCTCGATGCAAATGGGAGAGTGAGAAATGGTTGGCAAAAGGCAAGTACTGCTGCACTCTCAAAACCAACCATTTTTAATGGTTGGGACGATAAAAAAATAAGTTATGTACAAGTACACACAAAATCCTAAAATACGTAACGTCAGCCGATAACATCCATAAATAAGATATTTACTGAGATTTGTTCAATATATTTCCGGTAAATACATTTTTCGGGAACCCTGATACGCCCTGCCTGCGATGTCTACAACACCCATCCATTGAGAAATACTCTCCTTTCCAAAACACAAAAGATTTTAGGCACTACACACTTCCGATTAACCTGCAGGGCATGCGGGATAACGAGATTCTATATGACTGTACGTGACATCAACGCTCAATATCAATGCAGCACGAAGTAGGAGCACAGCGCAGAAGCCTTTTCAATTTTCTCGATAGGTACGCGATCGCGGATAACGCTCGAGCACCGTAAAAGCGTCTGCCGTACCCTCCGAAATAGTTTACAACTTTTACTTCTCAAATTGTTGCCCGCTAAAGAACCTGGAACTCCAAAAGCCTATGCTTGCTGCCTCCGCTGTTGTTCTATTAGCAACGTTCACTTCCCGCACTGAAGCGCACAGTTATCTCGAACAGCCCAAGCCGTCCTGGAAGGACAGTCCCAATCCCGGCTGGGTTACTTTGATCGACAACTACTGGGACATCGGATCCGGTGGTGACCAAGTTGGCGCATTCAAGACGATGGCCAAAGAGAAGGGCATGTCTGTGAAGGACGTGGTGCTGGACATGGTCAAGGACCAGAAATGTGGTAACACGCTGGAAAATGGGGACCCCCAGCCAATTCCGGCCGACGGGAAAGTCAAGTGGCATGGCAACGAGGGCGGCGGCTTCACCCACACTGGCCCTTGTGAAATCTACCTAGACGACAAGATGGTTCTCCACGGTGATGACTGCGAGGACGAGTTCAAGGGTGGCCCCAATGGCTCGAAACAAACGTCCGATATGCCAGTGGACTTTTCATCGTGCAACGGTAAATGCTTGTTGACGATCTATTGGCTGGCGTTCCAGAACGCGCAGTGGCAGACCTATGGTACGTACACTTGTAAAGTGATCGGTCATGCGGTGCAACTAATCCTTTGCTTTGTTCAGTTAACTGCGTGCCTCTGGAAGGAAGTGGTGGAGGCGGCTCAACGCCGACGACACAGGGCTCGTCGAAGGAAGCCGAGTCTTCCGGAGCGTCAGAGAATGAGAAGCAAGCTGAAGCATCAGGAAATTCCGATACTAAGCAGGATTCTCCATCGACGGAGACGAAGTCGACTGAAGGCTCATCGACGGGAAAGCAGGAATCTCCGGCAGCAGAAACGCCAGCA